ACATGCAATATATCTTAGCAGCCTGCCTTTCATCCTTTAAAGGATATCTCCATTTTTCGAACCAGTTGTGCTTAAGTACTTGAAGTAAAACGAATGTCACCGTGGACGAAGTAGTGGCTAAACGTCTTCACGAAGCCACCACAAGAGAAGGCAGTCCGGCAGAGACACTCAGGTCAGGAGGCCAGCGGTGTAATAATGTGTTTAGGGAGCTGTAAGAGAGTCAAGTGGTGTCTGTGTGGAGCTACCCCCCCGCCACCTCCCCACATGCTGAGAGGATCAGTCTCCGAGGCTGTGGAGCATGAAGCCCAGGTTAGAGCTAATCCCCAGCCTGCCCCGCGGCCCAATCCGCCCGTCCGACTGATGAGAAGAACCCAATCAGCTTGTGGGCTTCCCTTAATAGCAGAAGCTCTTGATTGGCTGTGTGAAGCTGTGCTACGTAGCCTGCACCTGTATTTCTGGAAAAAATACAGTTTTATTCTTGTTTTGAACCCACAGCAATAACAAAAGCTTGGTGTGGTATTGTATCGTAGCAAAACCTCGTATCTCAGAAACGGGAACATTACAGGAGAAGGAAAAACTTAGTACAAATACTACCACAAGTCATTTTGGACCATTTCTATTGGCCTTTTCATCAAGAACTGTTCATAAAATGTTAAAAGCAGCTGCTGCTTCCAGAAAGGAGTTATTTGATGACAGTAACAAGGTGTCAACACTTCCGCGTAATTAAATGGGTGAGATGTAAACAGAGTGGTTTGATGTGAAATGCTCCAATTTAGAGAAACATACTGAGTCAGAAATGTTCACAGCGGTGATGGGAACCAGACAACTGGAGAGTTTAATGACCCTAGCATTTCCCTCACAGAAAGATATTACATGAAATTATGTTTTTATCATAGTTTTGCTACAAGCGTTTGGCCTATAACATATTACTTAAATGCATTCGTAGCAGAGGGGTGTTGTTAGGCAAAACAGTCCCCAAAGAAAACTTATTTTTTCAGATGTACCACTATTTTACCATCATCAACATTAGAGAACAAAATGGCTAGTTTTCTCTTGTAGATATTGCGACCCTTGGTTCCTGTCACCACCTCTCTTTGTTTGCATCTCAATCAATGAATTTTAAAATATTGTAATTATTTCTCGGTTATGCAGAGAAATTCCTTCAAACGACAGTTTCTAATCTTTCAATCCGTACCACGTTTGTGTTTTTAAGAAAAGTAGACATGTTATGCATATAGGCTTTAGTTTAGTATTGATGATAAAAAGTTTTTTGCCACCTTTCTGTCAATTTTGACAGTGAAACAAGTCAGAAATGAGGATTGAAGTCTGCTGATACAAAATGCACATTGACTCTAAAGGTAATTCATTATGATTGGGGAACATGTCGGCTTCAGAAAAGGTCAAATAATTTCCTGGAACTGGAAAAAAACTGTCTAATTTTTACTTTACTTTTAATTTACTATAATCATTATGCTTGTTGTACTTGAATTCTGCAAGTATTGTAGTAATCCTCTTATTTCAAACTTCAATTTTGGTTGATAACGAAAGCGTTAAAATCTTAAAACGACCAAAAGAAATTTTTCCAGTCAGAATTTTTTTCTCTGTGGTATCTGGGCAGATACAGCCAAGCGAGCTCTCTCATTGGTTAGGACTTCAGGAGCTGAACTGAAGGCCTTTTAGATTAACTGCCAACATAACTTGGAATTGACGGTGGAATCAACCAATCACGTTCTGATTTCCAGTAAGTGGGATCAATATAATTTGAAAAATGTCACTCCAGGCCTTGTGGAAGTTCTAGATACATCACTGACTGTGAACATGAGCCCTAGACTAGACCAGCCAGGTTTCAGTCAGATGTTCCAGAAAAGCAAAATAGCTACATTAACTATAAAATTAACTATAAAACTGCTATGTAAAAGGTGAAAATAAAGATGAAATATATATTAATATGTCCGTTTCAAGGTTCATTAAGTCTGTGTTTAATCTAGAACGGCCACAAAATGTCCACGTGCGCCATGCTAGCTTAGCGCTAACATAGCTAAGCACTAACATGTTAATAGTATGTCAGCGCAGTTAATTTTTCTCGTTCTCAAGGTTTGGCATTTATGGAGTGAACTGATGGCCTACGTCTAGTAGTCACAGTTAACCACTGTTCATTAGACAACTGTGTAATTAATTATGGTTTTATGTAATTACGTTTAGATAGTTATTAAAAGTTACGCAAATGTATAGCAACAATGACAATAGCTGTAGAATTCTTTGGGCTAATTTCAGTGCTTGTTTGAGCCGTGTTCTTCTCCACTGTCTAATATTGATATTAAAAATAGTGTAATTTAAAACAGTGCAAGGACTGGAACATATGGGTGTCATATGTCCTCTGATGATAATTGCATGCTTTGAGTGATGCAGCTATTATAGTCTGCATATTGAATATTAATAACTGAATGGACTGTCGTTGGTCGTATGCACCACTGAGTTTTCCTCCCTAACGGCTAATGTCGCTAAAATGTCTGTGTTGTGCCTCTAACATCAATCCCCACACTTAGGGCACCTGCGATGTTTAATCCCGACACTTCGTAATCATTTATTCATTAAGAGGGCCAGTTTCACTCTGCTCTCTCATTTACGATGTATTAGACGCATATGCTAGCAGCCTGATGCTAACAGCATTCACATGTAGCGCCTCGACTCATTTGAAAGTCAAGTTTTTCTCTTTTTTTTGACGGCCTGCTCCACAGTTCAGCGGAGCGTTCCCCTAAGCCAGCGGTGCGGCGGTCACCAGGCCGGCAAGCTGAAGGCACTCTGCTGTAAAGAGAGCTGTGCTAGCAAACACTGTTATTCAGACTGACAGGGCTTGTCGCCCTCGCGCGTGAAATGACTGCACACATGATCCGGAGGTGAGAAAGGAACGTGGCTTTCCGCTAACAGGCCCGTCTGACTGGCACCCGCCTCACAGAAGTCAACACGGAGGCGAAAAATTCCTCGGTGTATTAGCATTGCAGAATTTTAGCTGCAGTAATGCTCAGTTAGCGAATTATGCTACCAGCAGCCATGCTATGTGTTTTTGGTGGAAATTGTTTCCTTTCTTCACACAAAAAACACGTTTTTGTCTGTTTTTGTGTGCAGTTTGTGCTGCTAAGCACAAAAACACCTCACTTAGGCTTCTGTTGTTGATAAAAACAGCCAGTTTCAGTGAAGCATCAACATCTTTGGGTTCTTCTGTGAATTATGAATTAGCACTTTAGCGTATTCGCTGAAAACTTAGCAAAGAGATTCATCACTGAAAGGTTTAGCATAAAATAGTTATGTTTTAGCTCGTTAGCATTTTAGCTGTGCTGTGTTCAGTTCCCTATGTTGCTCCAACTGAGAGGGAGGAAAGTAGAAAGCAGTATGATGGAAGTGGCTTAGCAAAACTAGCATTGCTGCATTAGCGCTACATATTTAGTCTCAGAAAGCAGTTTTGCTCTCATTATGTCCTCTGTGGGAGGTAATTGTTGTGCTGTTTTACTGTAGAAGAATGGATGTCACAGAAAAAATATTACTTTAACATTATTTTAGAGTTCTTTGGGGTTTTTTTGTTCCCTTTAAACTTACGTACAACAACTAAATTTAGAGGTAGTTGTGAGGCAGGGAGTTTGGAGGCAGAATAGACCAACAAACATTTTTTTGGATTTATCACTATTTTACCATCATCAACATTCCATTTAAAACTCAAAAGACACCTGTAGGTTCACTGGTGGTTTTGGATTATAAATAAAATGGCTATATTTGTGTTGTAGTCTTGGTGACGTCTGGTTCCTATCACCACCACTGTAAAGAAATCTGAGTCTGTGAGTTTCTCTACAGTGTTAGAATTCTGAAATCCGCCCTCATGAGCCTCTTAACAGGCTCTTAGTGACTGAATCAAAGCTTTATTACTGTGCAGCGTTGCTTTTATAAGGCAGAAAGTACTTGAGTGGTTAGTAGGCGGCACTTCAGCTGAGAAGCCTTATTCCCGCCCGCGCACGGCTTTAACATGAGCAATTAAAACTCCAGGCTGACTTCAGAGGAGAGGGAAAAGTTTCTGCTTTGACTTTCCCGTCTCTTGACCAGCTAGAGTGGCCATCCCAGGCTCGCTCTGGCTGCCCGCGCAGTGGACGTTTGTCAGACTGATGCGGAAACATAAAAGGCTGAATAAACGATTGCACAGACGGGCAGAGGATCACTCGGGCATCACAGTGCCTTTGAAGTGCGACTAGGCTGATCAATGGGAAAAACTGACCCTCGTTAGCACGCTCAAAGATAGACGGAAAACAAACAGCTCTCCAGGCATCATCCTTCATCTGAGCACGCCACACATACTCATGTGAGCTTTCTCCTTTATTCTCCCTCATTTTCTTCTTCACTTTCTGTCCTCTCTCTGACGCCAACTCTGAGTGCTTTTCGTTTCCCTTCTCGTGTTTAATTTGTTGTTGTCGATTTCCTGCTTATTTTAAACTGCGGGGCATATCTATCTTTTCTCTCCTCTCGGTGTCTGATATTTTGGGCGGATGGCGTCTAGCCTCCTATCCGGAAGGTGTCTTTGCTTTTGAGCACATGGGTTGGCGTGTCTGAGTGAGAGACTGCTTGAGGCATGCTGCTTCAATCATTAACAACGCTTCAACTTACCCATCATTCAGCGGCTCATCACCCCAGGTTTCAAACAACACACTAAATGAAAGCTCGAAAAACAGTGAATCCTTTACTGCAACTTTGTCTGTAAGGCTTCAGGTGAAGTGCTAACACGGCCCACCCTCAAATCTCTTCCCATCTTGACCACTGTTCTAACTGTTGTGACTGCCCTATTTATTCTTTGCCCATAAACTGTGAACCATGACTATTAAAGCTAGGCCTTCAGTTTGGGCCATTAATATCGAAAAACGAGTAAAAACACCTCTCCACAACAGTAGCTACAAAAGAACGTCTAGATCAATTCAGTGCACATGCAGCATCCTAACCTTTGACCTATGTGTGTTTTACAGGAGCAGAGTCCCAGTAACCAGACGTCTCTGGCCATGATGCAGGAGCCGCAGGAGGTGGTGGAGGAGACTGTTACCATAGAGGAGGACCCCGGCACACCCACGTCCCACGTTTCCGTGGTGACGTCCGATGACGGAACCACCCGCCGCACAGAGACCAAGGTAACCATGGTTACAGACAACTCATTGTTGACGCCATGCTATGTCAGATCACTTGCACACAGACAGTCGACCACCTGAGGGGACCTTTCTAACCAGGCCAGTGCCAGAAACTAGATATATAAGTACGGACTCTGGCTGTTACAGATGAACCATAATGATAACTCGGTGCTGGAAATTGTTTGTCCGTTTACTGTCCACTTTATGAGGTCCACCTATAAAGGCGTACGGTTACAGACTGTCGTACATTTGTTGCTGTGCAGTCTTTCTCCCCCTCTGTTCTTTCTATAGCACTGACCAGAGGTTATTTGGGTGGTGGGTCATTCTCAGCACAGCAGTGACACTGACATGGTGTGCGGTTTTGGTGTTAGTGTATCAGACACCGCAGTGAATGCAGGATTGAGAGTAGGCTGAAACAGTTATTAATTATTAGTCCAGCCTACGCTGCCAGAAAAGAAGCTACTGTGCAGGTACTTGTTTCGTTTGTCAAGGTACAAATAATGTAAATGTACCCTCACAGGTACAATGGTTTTAGGATCCAACTGTGACCCTAATATTTTAAATCAGAGCAATAAAATAAAAAGCCTGGAGGCAAGACAGGGCATCAGTACATATTAAAAAATATAATCGCAGAGGCTAATGGCACAATACGTCCCCTAACTAAAGGTGAACTAACTGAAGACGTGCCCTTGAGGATACCACCCCAGCTACAAGAGGGATACCACCTTAATGAACGTTTAGTACATTCTGAGAGTGAGTTACGATTTAATCTGAAGAAGGCAGCAATTTACTTCTACACTTGTAGTGTCATAGCTACGTGAGCAGATAGAGAAAGAAAAAGAACGGTTATGGCTGAAAGTCTGGGATTCTTCTTAAAATGAAGGAGAAAGTAGTCACATGCAATTGATCAGAATGCTGGAACAAAATCTCATATCACCAAAATGGAAACTTCACAGGAGAAGGATAAAATGTTCTTAACCTTTGTAGTTAAAGTCAGTGTAACAAAACTTTGTCCTTGTAATTTTGGACTATTGGGCTGTTCATCATTTTACTACACTGAAAAGAGTAACTGGACATTTTAAACTGTGCCAAAAACAAAAATGAACACCACCAAAAATAGACAAGGGTGTTACGCGATGATATGCTAGTCTGAGTTCATTTTCCATGAAAGCACACTGTTACCTTCGGCCAGTGAAAGAGAAAACATGCTAAAGCAGCAGAATGATCAGTAACCATTAGATTCATCATTCTACATTACAAACGTTAGTCACTGTAATGTTCTGAGCCGTATCAGTTTCTGTTATCAGTATGTAGCTGCTACTTAAAAAAAGTATTGAACATTCATCAGCTCACCCTGTCGTGGCGTCACATACATTAGCTAGCTATGTACAGCTGGTTTAGTAGCATAAAATTCAGCTCATTTTGTATACATAGTTTTCACATAAAATAAAAAATCATGCTGTAAACCTCCTCACATATAGGCCAGTTTTTCTAGTGAACTAGCAAGTTAAAATGTTAAACCTGCAGCCTAAAAAGTTACAGCGTTAATCTACATATTTATTATGATATCACTTATTTTTGGCTGTTGCTTATTACTCAAAATTGTGGGCTTAAACAAAGCGCCATTTTTTTCAGTGATGGTAATTTAGCTCACAACCTCAGTTTGTCAGAACATTGCTAAACATCTTATTGTTACTGCCTTTTGCATTTACAGGCCGATTAACCAATTTTTTTCAATGAATTCACACGAATAATCGACTATCAAAATATTCACAGCCCTAGTTGAGAGTGGTTTACCACCCAATCACATCCAGCCAAGAGTAACTCTCTGGTGAGAAACTGACCATTGATGAGCAATGTAAATTGTGCATCAACAGATGAGCTGCAGTCTCTGTACACTAGCAAGATGGAGCTACAGGTGGACAGTGATTGTCATGTTATTTAAAAGTTTGATGTGACTCAGCTAGCATAGCTCACATCACTGTTTTAACCTGGATCAGCTTTAGTCAACACTGGAAAAGTTGAGCATGTGTCGACTATTGTTATCAAACAGTGTGTGTGGGGTGCAATGGAGCTCCCGCTGCTGACTCAGAGTTCCAGAACACTCTGGCTCGGATTTCCACCCAATCAACCGTAGCGAGAAATTCCAGCTGAGAAAGTTCTCACTTCTATCACACCGCTGTTTTAGCAGTGGGGGATAGAGAAGAAAAGAGGAGTTCCAACTCGTTTCATCTGTACTTTTCAGAGATTGGCAGTAACGGGGATTAGAAACAGTCGACAGGGACGGAAAAAGAAAATATTTTTGGCAGAATGTTGTCAAAAACAGAAGCAAAATCACTTCCCAGAGTGAAAACCTTATTTTAAAATGCAGTCAACTAGTATCTTTTTGTTTTCATTTAACTTCCATAGAATAAACGCAGCAGTGATTGATTTGGTGTTATTACTATTTTAATAAAACAGCCTCATATATTTACAGAATGCCACATCACAAGTACATTTGACCAGTTACCAAAAGGAGGGAGGTGCATAATGCTGGAATAGGAATCTTCAGTGTGGGGTAAAACTCTCCAGGGTACTAAAAAGGTACTAAACTGTCACTGAGGTGGTGCCATCTTCAGTGCCGTCAGTTAGGAAACAATTGTACCATAGATCATTGCAGTTATATTATCTAATTGCTGCTAACGCAACGTCATTGGACAGCTCGACATGCTAGAGAACGCTAATGGCCAGTTCTGTTATGTCACTTAACAGACGACAGCGTTGGCTAGCATTGGAATGAGTAGGAGTCCTGGTTACGGATGGCTATGGCATCTCTGGAGAACAAACTTCCGATTTCTTAATAATAGCAGTAGTCCCCCACCGTGGCTCTCAGAGACGCCACGTTCCTAGGCTTCAGCACTCTGAGGCTACTGCTAGGCTAAAGAGTGGAATATCCCATGCTTTATTTCAAGTTCATACAGCTGTTTAACAGCCTGACCGCCTTCAGAACACACATGCGCAATATCACATCTGAGAGTGCTGTAGTCCTGAGAGGGCCATGGCTCCGAAGCTGTAGCAATACCCTACTCAACAATAGAGCCAGTGTTTAAATAGTTGTGCCACTTGGATACCTTCTCTATTTCCTGATTCTATGAAAATTAACCAATAACATACAAACCCAGTTCCAAAAATTTTGGGACAGTATGTTAAATGTACATAAAAACAGAAAGCAGTGATCTGTAAATCCTTTGAGCTGTATTTAAACAAAGACTGTACAAAGACAAGATATCTAATGTTTTATCATATCAGCTTTATTATTATAACTCTATGCACTCATTCTGAAATTGATGCCTGCAACATATTCCAAAAAAGTTAGGATGGAGCAATGAGCGAGGATGGGTCGCAGCTCACCACGTTGCCTAAAAATGCATCAGCAAATAGTCCAACTGTTTAAGAACATTAAGAAGAATGTTCTTCAGTGAGTGATTGCAAGGATTTTAGGTATTTCAGCCTTAACAATACATATTATTATCAAAAGATTCAAAAACCCATACAAATCAAGGCCAAAAACCACAACTGGAATGCCCATGACCTTTGAGCCCTTGGTCACTGCATTAAAAATGGGCATGCCTCTGTGATAGATATTACCATGTGAGCACAGGAATACTTCATCACTGCATCCACTTAAATGCAAGTTAAGATTTTCCTATTTACAGTGGAAGCCATAGTCGACAACATCCAAAAACACTGCCGATTTCTATGGGTTTCTAAAAGCTCATCTGAAAAGGACTGAGGCACAGTGGAAACATGTATTGCGGTCTGATGAGTCCACCTTTCAAATAGTTTATGGAAATAATGGAAAAATACCATCCAGATTGTTACCAGCATAAAGTTCTAAAGCCAGGGTCTGTCATAGTATGGGGGTGTACTAGTGGGTAATTTGCACATCTGTGAAGGAATCATTAACACTGAAAGATATGCACACATTTTGGAGCAACATATGCTGCCTTCTAGACGCCATCTTTTTCAGGGACGTCCATGCTTAAATCAACATGACAATGCCAAGAAATATTCTGCACTTGTTAAAACAGCATGGCTGCATAATCAGAGAGTGTGGGTTGCTATACTGGCCTGTCTCATATTGAAAAAGCGTGACACATTATGAAGTGCAAAATTTGATAATATAGGCTCATACAGTTGCATGGCTGAAGATTGTATAGCTGCAGAATGTTTCCAAACTGTATCTATTGGTGTCTTCAGTCCCCAAACATTAATTAATCACTGTTAAAAGGAAAGGTGGCAAACATGCTCCTGTCCCCACTTTCTTGGAACGTGATGTGGGGCATCAAATTTTGAAATGACCGTATATTTACAAGAAAAAAAAACAAGAATGAAGTTCATAAGGTAAAACATCATTTGGTGTTTTCGTACTATTTTAAATTTAATACAGGTCAGAATTTACTTACCGCTGTTTTCTGTTTTTATTGGCATTTTACATACTGTCCCAACTTTTTTGGAATTGGATTTGTAATAATGTTATCAGCTGTTTACCACATTGGTCAACTGTTTTTAAAATAAGTAAAGTTTTCACTCGGATTTGTTCCTGTTTTTAATTACATTCTGTTAAAAATATTTGTCTTTTTTAGTTTTGTTTTTTTCCTCTATTGATTCTTATTGCGCTTAGCAAACCATCTGAAGGACACATGGGCAGTCTGTCTTTCTCAAACAAACTGAAAATCAAATGTTTGAGATTTTTCTTTGCATACTGCGAATGTTTCAAAGCGTTTAAAGAAGAAAAAAGACTATAACGCTGTCAAATGTAAGACCCTCAGTCTGATAATCTGTCCTCCAGATGCCTGCGTGCTGTGGTATGTGTTGGTGTTAATATGCTACTGCTTCTACATACACGTCATTGTATCATCTGTATTCCTGAAAGTTTCGGGAGAAACGCTTTTGCTGATTACCCTTTGCTTTTGTTTTGTTGCGTTTGGAAAAAGGACAATTCAGCTAACGTGAAGGTGAGT